GTGTGTGTGTGTGTGTGTGTGTGTGTGTGTGTGTGTGTGTGTGTGTGAGAGAGAGAGAGAGAGAGAGAGAGAGAGAGAGAGAGATAGAGAGAGAGAGAATAAATGGGAATTCTCTTCTATGGTTAAATCAAATATTGTTAATAGACTACTCCTTATACTCAGTGTGACACATTACTTCACAAGAATAATCAAATACTATGCCAATAAAGACATAAAATATTTTAAAATAGAAAAAAAAAGTCCAAACAGCAACCATAGCATCATTTGACTAAAGTTATTTTAACACAGTGGTCTGAGCCTATAATCTCAGAAACAGAGATGAATGAGGTAAGAAGACAGCTCATGCTGTAGAGGATTCAAGTACACCCTCAACAACACAGGAAGACCTGTGCCTTGGCAAAGAAAATATCTCATACGCCAGAGGCAGCACCTTCACTGAATAGCTGCTTAAAGACTCTTAGCTCTGTCTCTCTCTCAGACACTATCTTGTTTAACAATTGTCAGAGTCTAGTGAGGGCAGGGAAGAAACAGAAGATGATAAAGGACAAACTCAACAGAATCCACAATACCCTCACCTATCACTTTCACAACTGCCCTTTTCTTATGCTACTTACAACTTATCAACTGCGAATGGCCAACTACGAAATTAAACTGACCAGGATTTTTTTCTCAGATGCCAAGCTTCCATACACACGCACCACACACAACTTCTACCTTCTTCAGTCACAAATGTGGCCAAAGGCAGAGTCACTGTTTTATGAACCATAACAAAGAAAGGGTGAGGCTGGACAGACGGCTTAGTGCAACCTGGGGGTTGATCGACTCTTTCCCGGGGTTGCCTGAGACCATCAGAAATCACAGACACTTGCAACTCATAAGAGTAGCAAAATTACAGTTATGTGGTAGCAATGAAAATAATGTTATGTTTGGAGGTCACCACAACATGAGGAACTGTGCTGAAGTGTCACAGCATTACACTGGCTTAGTGGATGAAGTGCCTCCTATGCAAGCATCGGGATCTGAATTTGAGTCCAAGTGCCTCCATAAAAAGACAGGCATGGACGGATGGATGGACACACATACACATACACACACACACACACACACACACACACACACACACACACCCCTAACTGCAGCTCTGCGGAGAATGAGAACAAGAGGATCATTGAGATTTCCTGGCTGCCAACCTGCTCCAGGTTTAGGGAAAGGCCCCTCTGAAAGGCATAAGGTATAGAGAGAGCAAGAGGATACTCAATATTCTCCTCTGACCTCTGTGTATGCTTACAGCCACACAGACATGAACATATACTCCCGCCCCCACAGGCATCGCATTCACATACGTGCATGTACTCAGTCTCACACACACATATATACACAAAGGGCTGGGTGCCGTACCAGTTATCTGTGTCTGTCATTTGTTCTTTGTTTGTCAGTATTTACTTCGATTTATATTCATCATTCATACAGTTGTTCAAATGACACCTGCTTTCTATATGCCTATGTTTTTCAGCCGTTTCTGTACACGTCTATATGTCTTCCAGCCTTCTATATGTCTGCAGAAAAAAGCCTGCTTTTTTTCTCCTGTTGCAATGAAAATGACTTCCTCTAAATGTCACCTAGAACTATAATTAAAAATGAGCACGCCCCACCCCCACCCCATCCATCTCCACAAGATCAACCTACAAAGTGCACAAGCCTCTCTGAGCTGCTGTCTCTGCTCACAGAGAGCCTGACTCTGCACCTCATTTTGGTCTGTGAAAGGCTCAGTGAGGAAGCCAAAGGACATTCAGGGACATCCTTACCTGAACGGCCATGCATGATCAGCCTCACTACAACATCAAATAACTATAGCTGTTTTCCTAAGGCATAATTACTTGGGATTAGAATTAGCCCACGCTTGCTAGAAACAGATTCAATTTGATTTCTTCCATATCTCTCAGTGTAGCATGAAAGAGGGGAAGCAGGCCAAGGTGAAAACAATTTCCAATACTGTGTCTGAGATGAAGTCAAAAGTTACATGGCAGTGTAATTAAAAAAAATTCACATAAATAAAAAATAAATGCTACAGTACTCGTTCCTTACTAAGAAAGGGATAAGGTCAACCCACTTGTTCCCAGAAAAAAAAAAAAAATCCACCATGAAATAAAGCTCCCCTGTGAAAGATGGTGCCCTCAAAATGTCTGTGTCATTCATTACCTTGCAAGTCCGAATCACTGGACTTGGGGCTGCTTCTTGCTCTTCGCTCTGTCTTCTTGATCCCAGGCCCACCACCACTGCCGCCTCCCCCTCCTCCGCTGCTTCCACCACTGTGGCCTTTCCCATAGCCATTGTACACCGTCGTCGCACAGTTGTTCTTGTAGATGGTAGAGGGTGGGCTGTTGAGGCGGTTCTGGCGGTCAATCTGGCGGTCCTTCAGCTTTTTGTGTGGTGGCTTGCTGTACTGGTCTTCTCGGGTGATGTAGCTCGACATCCCATACAGTGGGATGATTTCTAGAATGAATGTGTGCGATAAATACCAGCTCAGTCTACATCTGCACAGTGAGTGATCAAATCAACTGACCCCTGGAGGAAGCAATGCCAACTAGTTCTACACACATTATAAAATACACCTTAAAACAGTGCTGGATACATGACAGGTTTAGAGTATTTGTATTCCTTCCCAACTATGCAAGAGATCATCAGTTATTAAAAACAGTACAAGGTACTTAGAATTTCCTGTAGTTTATGGAAAAAAAATATGATGAGGTTATCCGAAGACTTTAGTTTATAAACTAAGTCTAATCTTGTCATTCTCAGGGTCTTTAGTAGATACAATACATAGAAGAAAACAAACAAAATTCCCCTTTACATGTACACATAGACTCAAAACATTAAAAAGTATATGCCTGGAGATACAACAAGGTTTCTATTAGAAAGTACAGGGTTAGACATGACAAAGGAAGTTATTTGGGGCATTTAAAAAAGGCAACAATTGGAGAAAAGTATTAAAGAGAATAAAATGATACACTGCAGTTAAAAGTAATCAGACACCAATAAGGGAGAAGGGAGTGTGAGAAAGAAAAGCCCTCTTTGCAATCTGGAGCTGACCTGACAGCTGCCTTTTCAAACTTCTCTTTCTGAGTGATAGGTGGGGGACAAGAGTGGCCCCTGGCTTCACTCTGTGCATATCTGAACAGCAAAGAAAAGCGTAGGAAAATGCAACATTTCTTATGGTCTTAGGGGAGAGATTTTATTTTACTCATTTAAGCTGTATAAATTTATTTTATGTGTGTGAGTATTTTGCCTGTATATGTGTTTGTACATGATACGTGTACCCACTGAGTCCAGAAGAGTGTTGGATGGCCTGGAAATGGAGGTACAGACAATTGGTCAGTTACCATGTGATGCTGGGAATCAAATCTAGGGCCTCTAGAATAGCAACCAGGGCTCTTAACTGCTGAGCCAACTCTCTACCCCCTTATTCATTTCTTAAAAGATATTTGTTTACTTTTATGTGTGTGCCACATGTGTACAAGTGCCACGGAAGCCAGAAGACAGTGTAGGATGCCCTGGAACTGGACTCCAGTGAGGGTGCTGGGAACGGAATGCTGGTCCTCTGCAGAAAGTGCTCCTAACCACTGAGCCTCCTTTGCAGCCAAGAAATTTTAAATGTGATATTTTTTAAATTACATAACATTATATAAAATATATATTAAGTAACATACAATACAAAATAAGAGAATTCAAAATAAATAATTTTTAAAAATTATATGTAAGTATCAACAGAAAATGCCAACATATGACATAAATAGTAAGTACATCCTTATATCTTTTCAGGAATAGGACTTCTCAGATATTCAGTAACTGTACAAACTTTATAGTACTTGTGAGCATCAAGTGAGAGGAATAATCATAATTTCTGGGGATGAGCAACCTAAAGCAAGACAGTGCTGAGCAGGAAAGCACAGCAAACTATATAATTTAACTAATATTTCCATTTTTCAATGTAAAATCCCACAATCCATTTCTTTTCCAGTCACACAGCTTATTTACATTTTTACAAGACAGCCACTGTGGACTAGAGAATGTAAGAAAACAAGGAGAGCCATATTCAGAAAGGATGTGTTTAAATTAACTACGCTAACATATGCCAGGCAACTAACAAATGCACTAAACAGCACAAAGCATTATACTTGGGAGTTAAAGCAGTCACCATGGATACGAATATAAGAACCATTTAAAGCATGGTGAGAGTTTTCTAAACTTTCATGGTTCCAGGAGTTAGTGTTTAATTGCTTTTGGGTACACACACTGAGAAATCCGAAGAGAAAACTTGACAGATGTTCCTGGAATATGAAGATTTTGTTTTATTAGAATCCTTACTTCAAAGCTTAAGATGGCACTTTCATTATGTGTATGTTACTGATCAGTGTTATTTTAATGAAATTAGACGAAAGCACACTGCAAAATGAAGTGTGAACAATGCGTATTCAACTCCAATGAATCACAGTCTTACCTTGCCTAAGATTATAAAGGCCATCACTTACAAAAGAGTAGCCGCTAGTAATGCTAGGGAAGGGCTGCTAAAATATGGCAGGTCAGGGGGCGCCACCAGACTGTCAGCGCAGTCACAGCCAGGCAGACACTCTGACCAACTCTCAAGTATTTAATATGGATTGTGACTAACCACTAAATACATTTTCACAAACTAGTTAACTGAGTGAGGTACCTGCCTACAATCCCAGCAAGTTGACAGGCAGAGCCGGGAGGGTTTACTACACATTTAAAATAAAAGTGGGCTCCAGAGTGAGACCATGTCTGCAAAACAAAAATAAAAAAACAAAAACAAAAAGCTGAAATAAACAATTTTTTTTTCTAAGTGTCTTCATACCATGCTTGCTTTTTTTTTTTTTTTTTGCCTCAAGTCACTAAGGAAAAATAAAAACAACGCACAAATTAGTAAGTGATTGACGTGGCTGGTGATATTTACCTTATGTTTTGCTATGACCTTCCTACACTCTTTTATGAAAGCATGTTAAATTTCTTCTGAATGCCAACAGAGACAAAATAATCAAATCTTACTCCTAAGTTACAATAGGATATCCCATTTAAAATAGTCATCTCAGATTTCTCTTTTGTTCGTAAGGAAAAATAAAAAGACACAAAAGATGAATAGAAAAGAAAAAAAAATTGTCAAGGGAAGTGGTGTGGTGCTGTGGTAAAAGTAGGCAAGGGGACACACGCGAAAGCTCTGCGGTGGAAGAGGAATTCCTCTGAGCCAATATAACACTGAAAGCAGGAAAAAGCTCCACCTCTGCAAAGACCCACAGCTGAAGTCTAGTCCCACCTGGTTTCCCAGCGTCCCTTCAGTCGAGAGCTTGGACTAAAGCAACACTGCGCCGAGAACTCTGAGACTCTCTGCCTTTCAGCAAGTATTTGTCTGATAACCACTGACACTGGGGCTAAAGGAATGGCTAGTCTCAAACTAAACACAGCTGCCGGAGGGCGACAGCAACAGCGAGATGACTGTCGCGTTCTGCCAAGATTTATCTTTCAGAAAACCTGAAGGATATTGAGACTTCATGATCTTCTAACATTTGAAATGGGCCACAAATCATTTCAATTTCCCCTTCCCTGGCAGACCGCGATGATGCCAAAGAAATAATGGGCCCTAGCACTGCCTTGGGCCACTGCTACGTAAACACATATCAACAGGCACAGGAACGCAGGGCAGACGGCTGCCTCGGGTCTAAGACAAAGATGAGCTATTCTACTGCGTGCTCCCGGGCGTGGGGGGAGGCGGATGCAGGAACGGGCTGTGACCCACCCACGGAGTCAAAGGATTTTCAGGAGGCAGAATCCAAGACAAAGTTAGCAGGAATTCCCCATGGGTTTGTAGTGGTTCCGTCTCTCTCTCCCTGGCTTATTCCATGGCAGACAGAGGGGAGAGGGTTCCCGGCTCTTGGAGGGAGGGCAGCCAGTTTGAACACACGTGGACGGCGGCCGTAAGCTACTCACCTTGCTCGCTGTATATTGTGGGGGGCAGGGGGTGCTGGGGGAAGAACTGTGGTGGGATGTCTCCAGGCACGGTGACGGGTGGGTAATAAGCTGTGTGCGAGTTCTGAATGAAGTGCGGGTGGTGAGTCAGGTAAGGGGGCAGGTGGTGAGTTGGAGACATGGCTGAGGGATAGCTTGGCGGGTAGCACTCAGGAGACTGGGGTGTGACCACCACCCGGCGGACTCCGGTACTGTCTTCAATCACCTGAGGAAGAAAGCAAAAGGATTGGATGCAATGTGTTCTGTTAACAAGCACACCCACAGATACGGAAGTATTGCTAACTTCCCTGTTAAGTGTACAAAGGAATGAACAACTTCTCCATTAGTTGAATGATTCTGACTCCAAGAAACATTTTGGGGAAAAAAAAAATTATCTTGCTAGCAAATCTCAGACTTGTCATACGATTTTTACTGTCATGAAAATTTTACTGGATGAGAAAGTTGAAGTGTGCTTAAACTGATGGTAGGAAAAACTTTGCATATATCCATAAACCCAAAGGCTTTGCAGAAGGAGATTCTCTGGGTCGTATAGGAATGCTTCCAGGGCTGGGCTTCCAGACCTATGGGACAACATCTACCTCACTTCTGCTCTAGTGCACACAAGTCCAAGGATATCAGAAAACACCGGAACACCAACGTCAAAAGGCACTGGCATACACCGCGTGTCACTTACATGGACAAAGAATGTAGTCAAAAAACGAAGGGATTCTGACCAATGAAAATGTGAGCAATCTCAAGTCGAGATGGTCAGGTTTGTACCTCGCTGTCCTGATTTCAACCAAGAGCCCTGGCACAGATAACAGAAGGCAGGACAACTGTATCCCTGTCAAGCTCTCACAGCTGCTTTTCCTGAACACTAAGCAGTTCTCTCAAGGAAGACAACTAGGGCAGGATAGTGTGACAGTTAAAGCCCACCTGACCAATCAGTCATGGTACAACACCAGCAAAGACATAGTCCACACAGCAGGCACCACAGGGAGAAGCAAGGCTGTAAGGGGCTGCAGAAACTGAAGCATGAAATGACGTGGTCACAAAGGGCCACGGGGGCTTCAAAGAACTGCAGTGCTGAAACACCTGATGGGATGGACGGTAGGTGTGTGGGGGAGAGGGGCTATGAGGAGAAGACATTAGAATACACTGAGGAAGCTGAGAGTATAGCTCAGGTGTAGAGGGAGGGGCATGGCTTTAGTCAAATTCAGGAGAAACACACGCACACACCATTAAATTCAGAATACAGGACCAGGCTCACCAAAACTTGGTGGAATCAATTATTCAAGACAGTGAGACACACATTCTGACAGGCTTTATTTTTGGTTTCTTTTTCTTTTTAATGCTTGAAATTGAATGTGTCTATTGAAAGTGTTTTGTTTTGGTTTTTTTTTTTTCATTGCATTTCAGGAGGTTGATAACAGGACAAAATAAAATAATTTAATTGTCTCTAACAAAAACGTACCCTATGCTTAGTCTCATTAAAACAAACAAACAAAAAGCAGCATTGCTAACACCAAACTGGCAACTCTATTAAGTGTTCAGTTTATGTTTAAGTGTACAAAGTAATTTTGACTTGAATTAACTACAATTGGTTAGTCTTTATGTTAAGAAAACGGGGCTGGAAAGAAGGCTTGGTGGTTGAGAGTACTTGCTACTCTTCCAGAGGACTCAGGGCTATTTCCCAGTCCCCACACGGCAGCCAAGAGCCCTGACCTCCAGCTCCAGGGACTGGATGATGTCCTTGAACCCTGTGGGCACCTACACACATATGAGACACATAGACACACACAGGCACACACGTGCACATCCTTAACATGAAATTTTCTGCTGCACTCATCTTTCATCACACTCAGCATTCACTCCTTAAAATTCAGGCTCTGAGTCATTCTCTCTGCTATAGCTCAGGGCAGCCTTTCCTGCCCTTACAGTCTGGAACAAAGGTAACCGCATCAGGTGTTTGCTTGGTCAGCTAAACACACGAAGCTCCTTGTGGACCTGCAGCTGGTGTGCACAAGCCCGTGTACAGTGGTGTTTAGAGCAGGCACCCAGAGCGCATCTCTCCCCTGTGGGACACTAAAGCACACTTCCTACAACTCCAGCCCCGAGCTGTGGGGGGGGTTTCTTACCAGTGATTTAAAAAAAAATGGCTACCCCAGTGTTCTCCTTCCCTTTATCTAAGCTATTAGGACAAAGAGGAGGCACAGCTCAGGTGTTCCAACCTCCTAAGACATTCTTCCAAGCCCCAAGGCTCCAGGATTTCTTGGAGGTTCTCCTGCTTCTACTTGAGGTGCAGCAGTGTAGACTTCCTGGGTATACTAGTGCAGACAGAGGGCACCTACCAAGAATGAGGCTCTCAACTTGGTGGCTGTAATTAAAATAATCTATTCTCATCATGTTATAATTTCTGCCTTGCTATAAGCAAAATTTTTTTAAGTTCATCAAAAACCTCTAACAAAAATTTCTAATTGGGGAAACAGAAATAAATGACACACAGAGCTGAAAAACTGTCTTCTTACTACTTTTATAAGAACATCTGTCCTTAAAAAATTGTTCTTAAAAGTTAATAGGTTCACTCTAAAGAATAAATTATCTTTATATATATACAACAGATTTCTAGCCAAAAAATTAAGTAGCATTATGAAGCCACAAATTCATATGTATATAAAAACTTCCTGAAGTTCTAATAATCCTGAATTATTCTGTGGTATTTGTGAAAGACATTTACATGTACTTGCATTATAAGACACTTTCAGAAACCTGTTCTTATCCAACCTGTCTTTCATCCTCCCAAAAGGAAGTATTAACTCTAAAGTATGAAAAGACAAAAACATAAAGATAATTTCACTACTGCTGTATTACAACACAAATTATAGTACATTTTACTTATCAAATTCAGTCATAAACTCTACTTAAGGAAATTATTCTCAGGTATCCCTAAAGAATAACCAAGGCCGAGGGGCCTAGTAAGAATGCAACTTCAGAAATGGTACTAAGTATTCTCTGTTTAACAAAAGTAGTTCATAAATACATCTATCATCCTAGAAGAAGAAATCGAACATCTGAGAGAATTCAGTTCAAACATCCCAAGCTAATAAAATATGCCTTCAATCTCCATAGATAACTACTGGAAAAAACAAATTCATTTCCTCTTGGGGTGAATGAAATTATGGTAATGCCCGGAGGCAGACAAATCACATATTCAACTCAACAGTTACTTCCTTACACACAGCACTGCTAACCACTGAATATTCAAAGGTGAGGGGAAACTAGCCCGGGTCCTAGTAAGTGCTGTTACAAAACCCTACATAGGATGACTTCAGAAATTAGAACAAAGAATGCTTCATCCAAATTTATCCCAACTCTGTGGCTCAACAGAAGTGCCATTCACACATCTCCAGGAAGCACAGAACTCTGGGAAAGATACGCATGCTCAGATGACTACCTATTATGAGCTGAATTAAGCACCCTAACAAGACCCCTCTCAGGTTCCTTTATTGAAGTGTTAACACTCAGGGCCTCAGAATCTGTGTAAAGGTGGACATCCAGAAAGAGATGAGGACAAGAGACAGACCTTGGACCTAAGGAATACTCACATTTATAGGGCAAAAACAGAGGCCTTGGCTGCATGTGGTGGCACTCAGGGAGGAGAGGCAGGCAGATCTCTGTGAGTTTGAGGCCAGCCTGGTCTACAAAGGGAATCCAGGACAACCAAGGGTATCTAGAGAAACCCTATCTTGAAAAACCAAAACCAAAACAAAACAAAAATACAAAGCAATCAAGCAAGCAAACAAACAAAACAAACAGGCCTTGGAAGACATTCTGCTATTTTGGCCCTTGGACTTTTAGCCTCCAGAACTGTAGAAAGACGCACTATGTCACATAAGGCATACAATTAAGGTACATTTTGTTTGTTTGGTTTGGGTTTTTTTGGCAGCCTCAGTAAGCCAACACAGCACCTAGGAGGGGTCTCAGGGCAGAGTGCTGAATTCAAGTTTCCTTTACCTTAAGTCTATAAGCCTTCCCTGCAGTGAAAAACACAATGAAGTAAAACAAGTAAATGACCCATTCATCCTTCATGCACACCAGTAGGTTTCCACAGGCCATGGAAGAAAATCAACATGATGGCCAACATTGCACAGATTTGATTGTCACATCTCAGCTGAGCTGCCTGTTCCTCAGCTCCTCACCTTGCTGAGCAGCTGTTGGTGCCCCACTGTCTGCCTCCAGAGAAGGCACAGGTGAAGGACTAGAGGGACAGGCAAGTGACACCCTCTAGGTGCAGTGCCTGCTTGCTGCCCTGTGCCAAAGACAAACTCGAAGAGGCTTCCATGGGTGTACCACATCGACTAGGAGAACCCGGATCCTATTTACACAAGTGTTCGAATACATATGACTGAAAGAACCAAGAAAAAAAACCAAACAATAACAAGACAGAACAGCCCAGGGGCTACAGTTAAGGGCACCTAATGGGAGCATGGGAGCAGTGTGCAGGGGTGGGGGATAAGAGAAATGCCCAGCTGTAACCCAGCTGTCACATGTAAGTTTCCTGCCCACCAGGGTATTTGACTTGAGCTTGCTGTGTTAGACAAAGAGAGACAGGGCACAGTGTGATTAAAATGCAGTTAGTGCCACTAAGCTGGAATGTTCACGATGGTGAGGGCATAACTTGGTGAGGTGTAGGATTACCCAGAGATTATGTGGGCTGCAAAGCCACTATGCAAACAGTCAGCCACTGAAGGGTAGGACACGTACACTATTAAGAAACAAAGAAGGCTTCGAGATACATCCAACATGTACTGACTTTCTGCTGGCGCTGTGCTTTAATATCTCCAACCTGAAAGGAGCCAGGACACCTTTAGCTCCTGGACAGGACACATACCATTATCAAAACCTTGTCACCAATCACCATTCCCCATGTTCATCACCTCACTAATCCAACAATCCTGGGGCGTATCGCTTTAGCAATCCCATTGTAGAAAGATAGTTAGGAGAAGTCCAGATAGCTCACCCAAACACAGAACTTTCAGGAATAAAAATCAATTTGATTCCAAGAGTTAGAATGGGTCTTGTAAAATAGATGTATGATTTAACTGTTTTCTTTTAAAAGAGAATGTGTAACTGTAATGTTCCATGGGAACCTGAATAAATTTCTTTGTTCCCAAACTGCTTTCCTTCTACTCCCACCAACCCACAAAGGTACAAGAATAAAGAGAA